CAAAAGCTTTCCACAGGGATGGTTGTCCATGTTGACTCCAATGCTTCCCACAGTTGTGTCAAGTTGGCTGGATGTCCTTTGGGTGGTGGACCATTCTTGATACGCACAGGAAACTGTTGAGCGTGAAAAACCCAGCAGCGTTGCAGTTCTTTACACATTCAAACTGGTTTGCCTGGCAACTACTACCATACCCGATAAAAGGCACTTAAATTGTGTGTCTTGCCCATTCACCCTCTAAATGGCACACATACACAATCCATGTCTCAATTGTCTAGGCTTGAAAATCATTCATTAGCCTGTCCCCTTCCCTTCATCTACACTGATTTGAAGTGGATTTAATAACAAGTGACCTCAATAAGGATCATAGTTTTCACCTGGTCAGTCTATGTCATGGAAAGGACAGGTGTCCTTAATGTTTTGTAGACTCAGTGTATATAAACTGAACAAAAATATAAACGCAACATGTAAAGTGTTGGTCCCATGCTTCATGAGCTGAAATATAACATCCCAGAAATTTTCCATACACGCAAAAAAGCTTATTTCTCTAAAATGTTCTGCACAAATTTGTTTATATCCCTGTTAGTGAGCATTTCTCTCTTGCCAAGATAATCCATCCACGTGCCAGGTGCGGCATATCAAGAAGCTGATTAAACAGTATGATCATTACAAAGGTGCACCTTGTGCTGGGGACAATAAAAGGCCACTCTAAAAGGTGCAGTTTTGTCACACAACACAATGCCACAGATGTCTCAAGTTGAGGGAGCGTGCAATTGGCATGCTGACTGCAGGAATGTCCACCAGAGCTGTTGCCAGAGAATTGAATGTTCATTTCTCTACCATAAGCCAGTGTCGTTTTAGAGAATTTGGCAGTGCAACCGGCCTCACAACCGCAGACCACATGTATGGCGTCGTGTGGGTGAGCAGTTTGCTAATGTCAACGTTGTGAAAAGAGTGCCCCATGGTGGCAGTGGGGTTATGGTACAGGCAGGCATAAGCTACGGACAACGAACACAATTACATTTGATTGATGACAATTTGAATGCACAGAGATACCGTGACGAGATCCTGAGGCCCATTGTCGTGCCATTCATCCGCTGCCATCACCTCATGTTTCAGCATGATAATGCACGGCCCCATGTCACAACGATCTGTACACAATTCCTGGAAGCTGAAAATGTCCCAGTTCTTCCATGGCCTACATACTCACCAGACATGTGATCCATTGAGAATGTTTGGGATGCTCTGGATCGACATGTACGACAGCGTATTCCAGTTCCCAACAATATCCAGCAACTTTGCACAGCCATTGAAGAGGAGTGGGACAACATTCCACAGGCCACAATCAACAGCCTGATCAACTCTATGCAATGGAGATGTGTCACGCTTCATGATGCAAATGGTGATCCCACCATTATACCAGATACTGACTGTTTTTCTGATCCACGCCCCTATTTTTAAAAATATATCTTTGACCAACAGATGCATATCTGTATTCCCATTCATGTGAAATCCATAGATTAGGGCCTAATGAATTTATTTCAATTGACTGATTTCCTTATATGAACTGTAACTCAGAAAAATCTTGTTGTTGCTTTTATATTTTTGTTCAATGTATATACATTACCAGTCAAAAGTTTGGACAGAGCTACTCTTTCAAGGGTTTTTCTTTATTTTTACAAAATCTTTTTTGGAATAATAGTGAAGACATCAAAACTATGAAATAACACATATGGTATCATGTAGTAACCAAAAAAGTGTTAAACAAATCAAAATATATTTTATATTTGAGATTCTTCAAATAGCAACCCTTTGCCTTGATGACAGCTTTGCACACTCTTGGCATTCTCTCACCCAGCTTCATGAGGTAGTCACCTGGAATGCATTTCAATTAACAGGTGTGCCTTCTTAAAAGTTAATTTGTGGAATTTCTTTCCTTAATGCGTTTGAGCCTATTAGTTGTATTGTGACAAGGTAGGGGGGGGGATATACAGAAGATAGCCCTATTTGGTAAAAGACCAAGTCCATATTATGGCAACAACAGCTCAAATAAGCAAAGAGAAACGACAGTCCATCATTACTTTAAGACATGAAGGTCAGTCAATCCGGAAAATTTCAAGAACTTTGAAAGTTTCTTGAAGTGCAGTTGCAATAACCATCAAGCGCTATGATGAAACTGGCTCTCATGAGGACTGCCACAGGAATGGAAGACCCAGAGTTACCTCTGCTGCAGAGGGTAAGTTCATTAGAGTTACCAGCCTCATAAATTGCAGCCCAAAGAAATGCTTCACAGACTTCAAGTCACAGACACATCTCAACATCAACTGTTCAGAGGGGACTCTGTGAATCAGCCCTTTATGGTCGAATTGCTGCAAAGAAACCACTACTAAAGGACACCAATAAGAAGAAGAGACCTGCTTGGGCCAAGAAACACTAGCAATGGACATTAGACCGGTGGAAATGTGTCCTTTGGTCTGGAGTCCAAATTGGAGATTTTTGGTTCCAACCGCCGTGTCTTTGTGAGACGCAGTGTGGGTGAACGGATTATCTTCGCATGTGTAGTTCCCACCGTAAAGCATGGAGGAGGAGGTGTTATGGTGTGGGGGGTACTTTGCTGGTGACACGGTCTGTGATTTATTTAGAATTCAAGGCACACTTAACCAGCATGGCTACCACAGCATTCTGCAGCGATACGCCATCCCATCTGGTTTGGGCTTAGTGGGACTATCATTTGTTTTTCAACAGGACAATGACCCAACACACCTCCAGGCTGTGTAAGGGCTATTTTACCAATAAGGAGAGTGATGGAGTGCTGCATCAGGTGACCTGGCCTCCACAATCCCCCACCTCAACCCAGTTGAGATGGTTTGGGATGAGTCGGACGGCAGAGGGATGGAAAAGCAGCCAACAAGTGCTCAGCATATGTGGGAACTCCTTCAAGACTGTTGGAAAAGCATTCAAGGTGAAGCTGGTTGAGAGAATGCCAAGAGTGTGCAAAGCTGTCATCAAGGCAACGGGTGGCTATTTGAAGAATCTCAAATATAAAATATATTGGTTACTACATGATTCTTTGATAGTTTTAACGTCTTCACTATTATTCTACAATATAGAAAATAGTTTTTAAAAAAAGAAAGAAAACACCTCCCGAGTGGCGCAGCGGTCTAAGGCACTGCATCTCAGTGCTTGAGGCGTCACTACAGACCCCCTGGTTCGATTCCAGGCTGTATCACAACCGGCCGTGATTGGGAGTCCCATAGGGGGGGTGACAGAGGTACGGACAGAGGTCCGGACCTTGGCGTCCTCATATGTATCTACGGCCCTGGTTACAGTCTCCTGGCCTATCTGCTGAGATGTCACTGTTAACTGCTCTCTTTACTTTGGAATTTGGGTATCATGGTCAAGGCAGGGAAACAGAAGCTAGACTTGCATTTGGAGTCTTCTTTACTCCCCAGTGCTTTGAGCTGTACCAATTGTTCATTCTTGATAACAGAGTATCTGTAGTTAAGAATTTGAATTACATTATATGGCGTCATTCCTCAGGTTCTCTTCTCCTTGACCCTCGGATTGATTTCTTAAATGAGCTGGAAATGGGTTGAGGGTTGAGACCACATGAATGAGTTTGGTATAGGGATTTCAGAATGTTACCCCCACCTGCTTCCCATGTTTCTACTTCTCTCTGTGGTCTCAGACAGTCCACTGTGCTGCAGTGTGCATGGCTTGGTCAGCACTGACCGAGTCCATCCGTGCAACACTAAGGAGAACTGTGAGAGAGGTAATAAAATATGGTTTCCATCTTTAAAGCAATATGTGCCAATTTCCCTTGGTTAAGAGTAGGGCTGAGACGATACCAGTATCGCAATATTTTTTCCATGGCAAAAAATAACTGCTGTATGTAAAATATTGTGTGCTATAGCTTGGAAAATAAATACATGTGACACTCTGGATGACAACATAATGATGTTTGTTTCCAACATTAGGGCTGTTCCTCCTAAATAAGTGAAATCCGCTTCGTGTTTTGTTTCCTTGCCTCGATACGAACGAGTTTCGTGATGCTGGTTTCATCCCGGCCCTAGTTAAGAGGGCAAAGCATCAACTCCAATGTTAGGATCTTTATGTCCATGCAAATAGGCCTACTCATAGCTAAAATATAAATGTAGAGTAAGTGAAAGTTATTGGCAAATATGCCTTGTACCAATATTGGATTTTTCTTGATAAGATTAACATACCAAATAAAATGTAAAATAATATATAACATATATTTTTACTTCAACAACCAAGCCTTCCTGGATTGTTTCACTGAGGACAGTGTGACATCTCTCGTCATCAAGCTTCTCTTAGGACTTAGACACACCACTAGTGTTTGCTGGCCGAGAGTTCTTAGCACCTCTGAACGTAATTTGCGAATCGAGTGTGGTCAGTGTCGGCAGTCAGACGTCTACATGGGGTGGTCCCTAAAACACAGTGCGCGGAATGACCGGCAGACCAACGCTAGATCCATATTTGGTGCGATGTGTGTGCGAGCCTTTACACACAGAAAACAATCTAGCACTTTCTCAATAAAAATAACAAAATCGTTAAACAATGATGTTTAGCCCAAATGTGCCAACTTAACATAAATCTATATGAATATATAGTAGCGTTAGCAGTAGGCTGGCTAATCGGTTTCGTAATATTTTGCTAACCTCTTCTATGACAAGACTCATGAGCTAAAAATAATGAGCCATTTGACCAGTTTCGGGTGTATTGAGCCAATGGCACCATGATGAAAAAGAAATGCAATATCTGTGCAATTGTCTCTTTTCCAGAATGTTTGACCTATAAAAAAAAAAAAAAATGCAGTTACAGCTTTGTTTTATGTTAATGAAAATAAGCTCATCACAGATCATACTACAGTATGTCATATCTGTTCATTCAACAGCATATCATCCTATACAGAGGAAGACCCCCTTGCTGCAGACCTGAGGTCAACTACACCTAAGAAATGTTGTGTTAAAGAAAAGCCTATGCAGGTAATTGTTGTGCCTGAACACTGACTGAGTGAACTGTAAGCTTCACAGATGATGCTATGGTGCTTTACCTGAGATATATTTGCATGAGCAGTGAACATGGGCTTTATGTACCTTTCTTGTTATCTAGGTGGATCCAACTCCAATGAATGTAGGGGATGGAGGCACGGTGACCCGAGAGATCGGTGCTCCGATTAAAGCGTCTGCGAGCATGGTAGGGAATCCCCCTCAGACGCTGCCCCAGGAGCTCAGAGGAGATGTGCCCCTCAGTCAGCCAAACAAGACCACCACAGCAACAGACTGTAAAACGCCGGTCAACGTCTGTTCAGACCCTAGCAACTTCAACCATTGCCCAGTGGTCCATCCTCCGCAAGAACACAACAATGCTCCAACATCAGGCCCTCCCCTCATTAGCTCTGACAAGAGAGCAGACAAGAGGTCAGAGGTCCCTAAACCCAAGGCTGATGGTGCTGGGGTCGTTCCCACACATCAGTGGCCGTGTGGTACAAAGAACAGCCCTGGTGACCCAGTTAACCCAAGTCACAGCATTGTGACGTCCAATAAAAAACCACATACTCAGACCCAGCCAGTGATTGGTCTTCCAGCTGGGTTTCAGTGCTCAACACTATTTAAACCAGGCCAGCCTGTTGCTTTTCTTCCCTCCACTAACTTTTCATCTCCACTCTGCAAAATCACTCTTCCACCCGCATTGGGTCAGATCGCAGCATTGCGAGAAGCCACAGCCAGCCAGTTTCAGAAGGGGAGTCAACCACAAAGCGCAGCTGCTGGCATGGCACCACTGCTGCGGACCTATCCATATCACTTCTCAGTGGGTCGAAGTCCAGCACCTGAAAAGAAAACACCCACTGCAACACCCAAACTCAAATGTAACTCGACGTCCAGTAGCAAGAGCTCCAAAGCTGGAGGAGAGCATAAATCCTCCATCGCCTCAGTGGTGGCCTCTCCCACTATCACTCTCCCAATACAGCACCCAGCATTAGCCTCTGCCCCACCAACCCGCTTCACGTTGTCTCCCACCGCTGCCATCTGCTGTGGCCCTTCACTGGCCAGCATCACCACTCAGGGCAGGCTGCTGAACCATGTGGAGAAAGGCCCTCCGCACCGCAGTGCAGACAAGACATCCGTAGGCTTTCCAAAACTGAAGGCTCCATCTGCTGCTGAGGACCGTGCGGTTGCTTGCCCGACTGAAGCAAGGGATGTGCCCCTTGACCTGTCCGCCAAGTCGAAGCGACCAAAAGCAGTCAAAGACCCTCCAAACATGGTTGCCACCACAGAGCATCTCCATAACGAGGCATGTCAGAAAGTTGCCCTCCATCCAAAGAGGCCCCATACTACAACGTATGGCTCTGCCGTGCCATACCCGATCCTACCCGACACTCACAGAAATGGGGCTTATCAAAAGCAGAGCAGCAGGCCCCTAAATCACCAGGGTTTGGAACCCAACTCATCCTGGGTCAAAGGTTCCTCTCAAGGCCCCATTAATAACCTCCCAGGAACCTATGTAGGTGTGGCCAGCCCCATACTTGCTTCCACCCTACGTAGCAAAGATGGGAAGGGGTCCTTTGAGGACGAGTTCCAGACTTTTGCTAGACAGGAGACTATCTCTATCATTGACCAAGGGGAACACCTGGCCTCAAGGGGAAAGAAGGCATTGTTCATGACGAAGGGGAACCAGCACGTTCATGGTATCAAGCACCCTAACAGTACCAGCCCAGCTGTAACACAAAGCTGTCCCTTTAAGGGGGCTTTCTCCACAGCTCTGCCCGGCTCTACCAACTCACACTCTCATCAGAAATCTGCAAGTGTCAAAGCAGCAATCCCATACTCCCTCACTGTCGTCAAGCCATTATGGCAGCAACCACCACTTCTTCCTTACCAAGGTGCTTCTGTTCAAAGAAAGGTAAGTCAAGGGACTCACAAGGTCAAGGGGGCCACAAGTTCAGAAGGTTCCAAATGTCAAAGCCCTTCCAGAATGTCCCCCCTGTCCAACCTTGAGTCCATAGTGAAGCAGAAAGCTCTAGAGACCACTGCATTGACTGGTGAGGGATACTGCCATCTATCGCCTGTGGCATCCAGAAAGCCTGTGGTGAGCACCCACACAGTGGGCCAGGACACATTGTTCCGTCAGACTGCTTCCTTTGGATGTCCACCTATCAGATCTGTGGAGAACAAAGAGACACTTTCCTCTCAAGGGGATTCCACACAAGTTATGAACAAACTTGAGAAAACAGGTGTCTCTGAGTCCAGAGAAAAGAGCTCTGAGAAACATGTTAAACTGGGGGAGCATGCAGGTGGCAAAGAGATACAGGTCTTTGGAAGTAGTGGTTCAGCTAACAGAAACAGGATGGACAGCAAATTAGCCCAGGAGTTGGAGGGAGGAATGGTGAAGGAGGAGAGTAAGGCTCCTGCTGGTCCTGCTCCCCGTGCTAAATTGGAGGGGATTGCCCTATCCATCCTCACTGGCCAGTGTGCAGGGGTAGTCGAGGTGGAGAAGAAGACGAATGGAACTAAAGAGGAGTCCCCCACCAAAGCTAAAGCTGCCTTCACCAAACAGAAGAAGCCCCCTAGTCCAAGGAAGCCAACAAAGGAGAAGGCATCACCGGACCATTCAAAGAAGGCTGTGGTGCCAGTGAAGAAAAAGCCAGGCCAGGAGACCACTCCAGTTAAGAAAGAACCACGTCCCAAAAAGGTACGTTGTTATTCTGCTTTTGTAATATTTACAATTCCATTTAGATGAGTTGTTTTGATTATGTGTTGTACAATGACATTATTCTCTTTTGTTGGTTGAACAAAGGAAGAAACATATTACATTCACACACTTGACTCTCTTGTCCACATTTATTATGAAGCAGAATTGAAAAAATATGTGAAATATCAACCACCCATCAACTTACAGTGGCTTGCGAAAGTATTCACCCCCCTTGGAATTTTTCCTATTTTGTTTCCTTACAACCTAGAATTAAAATGGATTTTTGGGGGGGTTTGTATCATTTGATTTACACAATATGCCTACCACTTTGAAGATGCAAAATATTTTTTTGTGTGAAACAAACAAGAAATAAGACAAAAAAACAGAAAACTTGAGCGTGCATAACTATTCACCCCCCCCACCTTTTGCAGCAATTACAGCTGCAAGTCTCTTGGGGTATGTCTCTATAAGCTTGGTACATCTAGCCCCTGTAACTCAGTTGGTAGAGCATGGCGCTTGCAACGCCAGGGTTGTGGGTTCGTTTCCCACGGGGGGCCAGTATGAAAATGTATGCACTCACTAACTGTAAGTCGCTCTGGATGAGAGCGTCTGCAAATGACTAAAATGTAAAATGTAGCCACTGTGATTTTGGGTTCCGCTGGTGTACAGCATGTCCAAGACATTTAAATGTTTCCCCTTAAACCACTCGAGTGTTGCTTTAGCAGTATGCTAAGGGTCATTGTCCTGCTGGAAGGTGAACCTCTCAAATCTCTGGAAGACTGAAGCAGGTTTCCCTCAAGAATTTCCCTGTATTTAGCGCCATCCATCATTCCTTCAATTCTGACCAGTTTCCCAGTCCCTGCCGATGAAAAATATCCCCACTGCATGATGCTGCCATCACCATGCTTCACTGTGGGGAAGGTGTTCTCGGGGTGATGAGAGGTGTTGGGTTTGCGCCAGATATAGTGTTTCCTTGATGGCCAAAAGGCTCAATTTTAGTCTCATCTGAACGGAGTACCTTCTTCCATAGGTTTGGGTAGTCTCCCACATGCCTTTTGGCGAACACCTAACGTGTTTGCTTATTTTTTCTTAAAGCAATGGCTTTTTCTGGCCACTCTTCCGTAAAGCCCAGCTCTGTGGAGCGTACGGCTTAAAGTGGTCCTATGGACAGATACTCCAATCTCCGCTGTGGAGCTTTGCAGCTCCTTCAGGGTTATCTTTGGTCTCTTTGTTGCCTCTGATTAATGCCCTCCTTGCCTGGTCCAGGTTTGTTGTGGTGCCATATTCTTTCAATTTTTTAATAATGGATTTAATGGTGCTCCGTGGGATGTTCAAAGTTTCTGATATTTTTTTATAACCCAACCCTGATCTGTACTTCTCCACAACTTTGTCCCGACCTGTTTGGAGAGCTCCTTGGTCTTCATGGTGCAGCTTGCTTGGTGGTACCCCTTGCTTAGTGGTGTTGCAGACTCTGGGGCCTTTCAGAACAGGTGTATATATACTGAGATCATGTGACACTTAGATTGCACACAGGTGGACTTTATTTAACTAATTATGTGACTTCTGGAGGTAATCTGGTTGCACCAGATCTTATTTATGGCCTTCATAGCAAAGGGGGTGAATACATATGCACACACCACTTTTCCATTATTTATTTTTTGAATTTTTTGAAACAAGTTATTTTTTTCATTTCACTTCACCAATTTGGACTATTTTGTGCATGTCCATTACATGAAATCCAAATAAAAATCCATTTAAATTACAGGTTGTAATGCAACAAAATAGGAAAAACGCCAAGGGGGATGAATACTTTTGCAAGGCACTGTACCTGTCTGTATTATGATTCAAGTATACTGATTGAAATAAAAAGGCAATTCAGTGCTTATACAGTCCGGTTGTTTCTCCGTATGCTCTCCATCACCATCAAAGCTTTACGATCAATTGCCTGAATGGCCTATTTAGTGCTCTCACTCTGTCCCTTGTGTGTTGCAACAGAAGAAACCAGGTGCACCTGTACTGGAGCACAGTCTGTCGCTGGCTGAACCATCCCCACACAGGGAGGAGGGGGAGAACACTCGCAGGGAGAAGAGCAGCCCCACTGATAACAAGCAGACTGCTCACAACAAACCAGGTAGGCTGTCTCTTCTGATAGTCTAGAATAGAACTTCACATATTACGTCAGCCAAAGATCTAATCAGAAATCCTTTATTATGATTCCTCTGTCTACGTTGTTTTGACGTAGGTTTCACAGGTAGCGGGAGCAGTCCTCTCCCCAGTCCCCAGTGCTCTGAGACCCCAATCTCCTTCAGCAGCCCTGGAAGACCCAATAAGGAGCCCTCATCCTCAGAGAGCTCTACCCCCAGGCTGAGGAGGGGCCGACGGAGGGGTGATGAGGCTTGGCTGGACGACTGGGGCTTCGCTACTCCCTCTCCTCCACCTCCCCCAACTCTCCCTCCCCCCCGTACATACCCTCCTCTCCAGCCTGCCCGCCGGCCCAGGGGCAGACCGCGCACCAACCCCCTGCCTGAGAAGGCTGCCCAGGGCAAGGCCAGATCCGCCCCCAACACTGATGGAGACTCCCCCAAACACAAGAAACGGTCCCGTTGCCGGAACAGGAAATACCAGAATGGGGAGTACATCACGGGGAAGGACAGGGATGGAGACGGAGAGGGGGAGGAGAGATCTGTCACCACCAGGCAGGGCACTCAATCTGGATCAGGTACTGTTCAGCTGGAAATTGAACAAATAGAAGCAGCTGCAGGTTTGTCTGGATGTGGTTATTATCACAGTGGGCCTTACACAAGGCAAAGTTGGTACGAGTTGAATGACTGAATAGAACTGTATACAGTGTAACTGGTTTCGTATGCAGTAGCTTCCCACTATTTGCAGCTTATTATGTGAAAACATCCATATATCCTTAAAGTGCTGTTAACCCACTGTTTATTTTGGATGGCACACTTTAGGAGAGATGGAAGGCATGTTTACTGCGATGGGGCTTTGGTTCTAGTCTCATTGTTTTCTTGTCTTGTAGCTTCCTATGAGCCTGTCAGTACACAACATGTTTAAATAACACCCAATACACTGCTTAGAACCATTGAGTAAATATTTGCTGTGTTTCTGTAGATTTGACAACTGGCATGTACCCACGCCTCAGTGCCACTCTGACCTGCCGTGGCGCCAGCCCAGAGCCTGGTCCCAGGAGGCCCTCTTTCACCCGCTCAGGGTCGGTGAGGCGCCCGGAGAGAGAGGCCTCCCCAGAGCCCAGCGACAAACCCTCTGGGAAGAGAAAGTTCAAGAGCAAGCACTTGAGTGACACAGATGAGCCCAAGAAGGTAGGAAGTTCAGCAGCATCCATCGCAGAGGCCATAGATCTGGACTTTGTGTTTCCTGTCAAACAGATCCTTGTTGTGAGATACAGTGTGCCGTGATGAGCCTAAATGCTTGGCTCATGGTGCCCCCTTGTGGCTTAAATCACTACTACAACTTATTTCATTTTATTTGTGCTCTGGCAGCTGATTTCCTCCATCACAGAGTGTGAGGCCGTTCGTCCATGCTGTGACTCTCCGTCACACATGACTTTCTCATTACCCTGCAAAATGTGTATTCTTTAAGCAGCTCAAGACCAAACGTTGCAGCTTGGGCAAGCGCCCTGCCTCTGTGGCAACGGATGACGACAGCCCCAACGCTAAGAAACCAGCAGGCCTCCAGGCCACCCCTAAGTGCTCGTCCTCCCCTCCTGCCAGTAAGAAGGGGACCTCAGGGAGGGGAGGGGCACCAGAGTCTCCCCCTAGCAGACCTGTTCCTCCAGAGGTTCGCCGGCTCATTGTCAACAAGAACGCCGGGGAGACTCTGCTACAAAGAGCCGCCCGATTGGGCTACCAGGTACTGCTCTACTGCTCCACCCAATCACCTGCCTGCATTCATGCTCAGCGCTTTTCCCCCTATCATTACTCCTGTGTGGTGGGCCCCATACCCCATACCAGACCCTAACCCAACGATGTTTCAGTTTATCAGACATGAATTGACATTACATTTACATTTTAATCATTTAGCAGACGCTCTTATCTAGAGCGACTTACAGTTAGTTAGTGTATTCATCTTAAGATAGCTAGTTTATCTCTGGCGTGATAAATCATGCTTCACATTCTGGCAGTCCGACGGACTAATCTGGGTTTGGCGGATGCCAGTAGAACGCTACCTGCCCCAATGCATAGTGCCAACTGTAAAGTTTGGTGGAGGAGGAACAATGGTATGGGGCTGTTTTTCATGGTTCGGGCTAGGCCCCTTAATTCCAGTGAAGGGAAATCTTAACGCTACAGCATACAATGACATTTTAGACGATTCTGTGCATCCAACCTTGTGGCAACAGTTTGGGGAAGGCCCTTTCCTGTTTCAGCATGACAATGCCCCCGTGCACAAAGCGAGGTCCATACAGAAATGGTTTGTCGAGATCGGTGTGGAAAAACTTGACTGGCCTGCACTGAGACCTGACCTCGACCCCATCAAACACCTTTGGGATGAATTGTAACGCCGACTACGAGCCAGGCCTAATCGACCAACATCAGTGCCCGACCTCACTAATGATCTTGTGGCTGAATGGAAGCAAGTCCCCGCAGCAATGTTCCAACATCTAGTGGAAAGCCTTCCCAGAAGAGTTGAAGCTGTTCTAGCAGTAAAGGGGGGACCAACTCCATTTTACTGCCTATGATTTTGGAATGAGATGTTCGACGAGCAGGTGTCCACATACTGTTGGCCATGTAGTGTATTTGAACATACAGTTGAAGTTGGAAGTTTACATACACCTTAGCCAAATACATTTAAACTCAGTTTTTCACAATTGCTGACATTTAATCCTAGTAAAAATACCATGTATTAGGTCAGTTTGGATCACCACTTTATTTTAAGGATGTGAAATGTCAGAATAATAGTAGAGAGAATGATTTATTTCAGCTTTTATTTCTTTCATCACATTCCCAGTGGGTCAGAAGTTTACATACACTCAACTAGTATTTGGTAGCATTGCCTTTAAATTGTTTAACTTGGGTCAAACGTTTCAGGTAGCCTTCCACAAGCTTCCCACAATAAGTTGGGTGAATTTTGGCCCATTCCTCCTGACAGAGCTGGTGTAACTGAGTCAGGTTTGTAGGCCTCCTTGCTCGCACACGCTTTTTCAGTTCTGCCCACACATTTTGTATAGGTGTGAGGTCAGGGCTTTGTGATGGCCACTCCAATACCTTGACTTTGCTGTCCTTAAGCCATTTTGCCACAACTTTGGAAGTATGCTTGGGGTCATTGTCCATTTGGAAGACCCATTTGCGACCAAGCTTTAACTTCCTGACTGATGTCTTGAGATGTTGCTTCAACATATCCACATAATTTTCCTTCCTCATGATGCCATCTATTTGAGACCACCGATACACAAAAATGTATGCACGCATGACTGTAAGTCGCTTTGGATAAAAGCGTCTGCTAAATGGCATATTATTATTATTATTATTTTGTGAAGTGCACCAGTCACTCCTGCAGCAAAGCACGCCCACAGCATGATGCTGCCACCCCCGTGCTTCACTGATGGGATGGTGTTCTTCGACTTGCAAGCCACCACCTTTTTCCTCCAAACATAACGATGGTCATTATGGCCAAACAGTTCTATTTTTGTTTAATCAGACCAGAGGACATTTCTCCAAAAAGTACAATATTTTTCCCCATGTGCAGTTGCAAACCGTAGTCTGTCTTTTTTATGGCGGTTTTGGAGCAGTGGCTTCTTCCTTGCTGAGCAGCCTTTCAGGTTATGTCGATATAGGACTCGTTTTACTGTGGATATAGATACTTTTGTATCTGTTTCCATCAGCATCTTCACAAGGTCATTTGCTGTTGTTCTGGGATTGATTTGCACTTTTCGCACCAAAGTACGTTCATCTCTAGGAGACAGAACGCGTCTCCTTCATGAGTGGTATGACGGCTGCGTGGTCCCATGGTGTTTATACTTGCGTACTATTGTTTGTACAGATGTACGTGGTACCTTCAGGCATTTGGAAATTGCTCCCAAGGATGAACCAGACTTGTGGAGGTCTACAATTATTTTTCTGAGGTCTTGGCTGATTTCTTTTGATTTTCCCATGATGTTAAGCAAAGAGGCACTGAGTTTGAAGGTAGGCCTTGAAATACATCCACAGGTACACCTCCAATTGACTCAAATGATGTCAATTAGCCCATCAGAAACTTCTAAAGCCATGACATCATTTTCTGGAATTTTCCAAGCTGTTTAAAGGCACAGTCAACTTAGTGTATGTAAACTTCTGACCCACTGGAATTGTGAGTGAATTATAAGTGAAATAATCTGTCTGTAAACAATTACTTGTCATGCACAAAGTAGATGTCCTAACCGACTTGCCAAAACTATAGTTTGTTAACAAGAAATATGTGGTGTGGTTGAAAAACAAGTTTTAATGACTCCAACCTAAGTGTATGTACACTTCCGATTTGAACTGTATATAGACATCATTTATTTATTTTTGCTACAGCAAATACAGTGTCTTATAAGACAAGTGCAAGTGTTATTCATATATTTCTTGTATTATTTCTTGTATTATTTCTTGTGGTGTTAAACCCTTGCTGTGTGTCCGTCCCTCCTGCAGGACGTGGTGCTCTACTGTCTGGAAAAAGACGTGCGGGAGGTCAATCGGCGTGACAACGCAGGTTACACGGCTCTCCACGAGGCGTGCTCTCGAGGCTGGAGCCACATCGTCCAGGTGCTGCTGAAACATGGGGCCGACGTCAACTGCAGCGCCCAGGACGGAACACGGTGGGCGTCTAATGACTTCTGAACACTTAATGAGGGCTCAGACTTGGAGAGCATATTGTTTGCCATACACTCCTGAGCTGAAGGGTTATGCCTGCAATAAAGGACTTTCATTCTAGACTATATCTGTTGCATAAAATAGAGCATTCACGCTTGGCTTATATGAGATCTGTTGTAATGCAGTTGAAATGTATGTTGATGAAACGAGAAAAGTAACACGTGTTATTGTATTTTGTCAGGCCCATCCACGACGCAGTAGCCAGTGATAACCTGCCTGAGGTGTGGATGCTGCTGAACCACGGAGCAGACCCCACCCTGGCTACCTACTCTGGACAGACGGCGGTCAAACTGGCCCAGAGCCCCAGCATGAAGACCTTCCTCAAAGGTACTCTAACCTGTCATCTCCTTCACCTTTGACCCCTGTGACACACATCACAGTCTGTCATTTTCTGAACATCACAGAGGAGTGCTTGGTGGAGTTTCAATCTGACCCTGGATCTGCTTTGTTTCAGAATACTTCACAGACCTGGAGGGGAGAAGTGACCAGGACCCCAGTCTGCCATGGGACTTCTACAGCAGCTCTGTGTTTGGTAAGAAACCTTCGTTTGATTGGTTTCTTTTCCTAACCATTGACCTCTGCATCCACTGCCATGTAACCACTCTTATCCGTGTTATGACTTGTATATGCCATGATTAGAATGCGTAGTGTGGGTGTTATGAACCGGACAGTCCACTAGGGGGAGCCTTAAGCCCATGGTGAAACGAGGCTTATAGTCCTTAGAACAAAGGTGAATCGAGTTTCCCCGGCAGTCCTGAGCTCACATCACTACATGTTTTTTCAGAGAATGGCCAGGAGGCATGCTGGGACTTCCTGCTCTCTCAGCGGGAGGAGGACGAGGGGAGGATGGAGGGAGACTCTGATAGGGACTGTCTCATGTTTGAATTCTCCTCAGAGCCCCTCTTACCCTGTTACCATGTCCAAGTGTCATTAACCCAGGGGTGAGTCAACACCAGAGCAGAAAATCACCTGTCAACACAATCATTCACACACATAGTCCCAGCTTTTCCACCCATATTCTAGTGCTTTTTGTTCCTTACTATTTGAAACCCAGAAGCACCTTTTGAAATCCTTCAAACCGCTCTTCAGCCATCAGCTTGTTGGAATCAGCTTGTTGGATAGGCTCAGCTAGTTCTAAAACCAACCCTGCATTTGTCCCTGACAGCTTTTGCAATTGGTTCCTGTTGACGGACGTCCTGAAGCGGCTGAAGATGTCCTCCCGGATATTCCGGGCGCGGTACCCGCACTTGGAGGTGGTGAGCCTGGCGCGGACGGAGCTGTGTAGGCAGGTGTCTGTCAGCCATGTGAGCACAGCCTCTGCACAGCCTCAGGGAGAGGAAGAGGGAGAGGGGCCAGTGGAGCTGGTCCGCTGTGTCCCGGAGCTCCAGGGACTGCTGGGTTCCTCCATTCACATCCTACAGGAGGACGAGGGGGAGGAGGAAGGGGACAGGACGGATACAGCCACGCCCTGCAGTCGGTAGCCCCCACCCCTCTGCTCTCTCTCAGCCCCTCACACATCCAAACTGTTCCCCTACACGTCCCCAGAGTCTCACCCTAACCTCCCGCGAGCAGCAGATTAAAATAAACAATGTCGGGAGGCTCCAGCTGTTGTAATGGTGGTTGTGGTATGGTGAAATGAAACAATGTCTACGCCACAGGAGGCTGGTGGCACCTTAATTGGGGAGGACGGACTTGTGGTAAAGGCTGGAGTGGAATTTGTGGAATGGTATCAAATACATCAAACACATGGTTTCCATGTTTAATGCCATTCCCTTTGCTCCGTTCCGACCATTATTATGAGCCGTCCTCCCCTCAGCAGCCTCCACTGGTCTACGCCACTGGGAAGAACACACCTCACTAATGACCTGGGACCGCCACATTGAGGAGAAATGGGTGTCAAAGCGGCACCACCTTGAGGATGGGTGTGGGTGCTCGGTGCTGGAGAGCAGCTTTCAGGTTCCAATCTGTAGGTATTTTTCAGGACCCAATAAATATTCTGGTAACATATTTTTTATGATTCTATATGTATATGGTACTATATGTATATCTTGCTACCAGGGCGATCACATTTGGTTGTAATGTATCCGTGTGGCTAGGGATGGATTATGTTTAGGGTTTTATTTTTGTGGTTTTGTTCAGTTTGTTTGCTCCTGAGGGAAAGATAATATTTTGGGGTGGGAGATAATCCAAGGCTTTTATTTGGGTGAACTCTTGCGTGCAGCTAAAAGGTTTACAGCCAGGCCAGGCCAGCTAACAGTAGCAGGAAGACCCCAAGGCCAGATTAACATGGGAGACCCAGAGACCACGGACACACACACAGACACATAATCTGCCCAGCTAACAGAACCATAGAACCACAGTGATCCATTTCATCATTCAACCACACAGTACTCTCAAGTTGCTAAGTAGATGGCCATTCAGTTTGTGTTACTTTTCTTTTGTCTTTCATTTTGCAGTGCACATGATTTCACCAAGCATCTTAGGTGTGTTAACCCGCGGCCTGCCTGTAGGCTTCTTAACCTCATATCATGGATTGATTTAGTTGAACTTGAGAATTAATACTTGTTTACAGATCTCAACAGATGGAAAGGTGTCGCTGTAGTTTTCTTCACTCCTCCTGCTTACCAGATGATGGGAGTGAGAGTAGAAGTGCCACATAGGATCTGTGGGGAGACCAGCGTCCTCTGCTCCTCTGTTCTGACTGCAACCCTTCACTTTGCTGCATAAGACTGACTAACAGGAGGGATAGGATAGGTATCCTTTTACTGCACCTTGCTCATCCCCCCTCATGGGGTTACGGACGGACTCCAACGTGCTATGTGGCGTGTGTTTTATTTACACTGTTGTTTGTGCTTAATTTAATAGTCATTAATATATTTGACCTCTTGTGTATCTGACAAACAATTTATGAAAAATTGCTTTGTATGGTTGGTGCTTCATTTCAAATGTACAATTCAGGATCCTTCTTGAGATTTTTTATTTTTTTTTCTTATTGCAAACAGTATTTTAACAAGCAAAAGTACAGTTTTATTGTACTGGTGCTAAGCTAGAATTTGTGTTGACAATCAATGATGTTTTTGTTTGAAGTTAAAACCAATAAATTATATTTAATTAAGATGAAGTGACAGAAATGTAAAGAAAAAGTATAGTTTCATTACCTATGGTGAAGAAAGTGGAACACATCTAGTCTGGAGAAGAGGACAATGTACTGCTTGTGTGAGTGCTGTTAAAACAGGTTAACCTTCTATTCGATTTATTTTTAATTTTTAAATCAACCAGAATAAAGCATGATTGTGAAGTATTGTTTGTGAGGTATTCATTTGACTCATCAGAAAGCAAATTCTATTTACAGTCCGTTGCTCTGTGCTCTTTTTAAGATAACGGTTACCGCGACCTTTTACATTGTAAACCGTATTGCGTAAGCCTAAAGGCAGACAGATGTTAGCTGGACTTAATCCTCAGACTGGTGATAAATTGCCCTTTTGAAGAGATCATCAGTGTCAGGTATGTATGTAGTCTATCCAATCTTATCATTAGTCATATAATACCCATGACGACCAATAGCAGATAAAACATTTACAGCCTAAATAGAGATTACCTTCTCTGAAATGTCGTGCAGAACTTGCACTGTCAAGGAAATATCCATCTTCGTATGAGATTCAAAGGTACACAGCATGACTCAAACCCCAGCATGGTGCTGTGATAAGGATGGGATGCTATGAGACTCGAAATTGAGCTCAGGTTCATCCTGTTTCCATAGATCATCCTTGAGATTATTCTATTGACGGTCCCAAGAACACAGTGGCCTCCATCATTCTTAAATGGAGGAAGTTTGGAACCACCAAGACTCTTCCTAGAACTTTATGGCACACACTGAGAAATTGGGGGAGAAGGGCCTTGGTCAAGGACGTGACCAAGAACCCGATGGTCACTCTGACAGAGCTCCAAAGTTCCTCTGTGGAGATGGGAGAACCTTCCAGAAGGACAACCATCTCTGCAGCACTCCACCAATCAGACCTTTATGGTAGAGTGGCCAGACGGAAGCCACTCATCAGTAAAAGGCACATGACAGCCCGCTTGGAGTTTACCAAAAGGCACCTAAAAGATTCTCAGACCATGAGAAACAAGATTCCTCTGGTCTGATGAAACCAAGATGGAACTCTTTGGCCTGAATGCCAACCGTCACGTCTGGAGGAAACCTGGCACCATCCCTATGGTGAAGCATGGTGAGCAAAGTACCGAGAGATCCTTGATGAAAACCTGCTCCAGAGCGCTCAGGACCTCAGACTGGGGCGAAGGTTCACCTTCCAACAGGACAACGACCCTAAGCACACAGCCAAGACAACGCAGGAGTGGCTTCGGGACAAGTCTCTGAATGTCCTTGAGTGGCCCAGCCAGAGCCTGGACTTGAACCCAATCGAACATCTCTGGAGAGAACTGAAAATAGCTGTGCAGCGACACTTCCCATCAAACCTGACAGAGCTTGAGAGGATCTGCAGAGAAGAATGGGAGAAACGCCCCAAAAACAGGTGTGCCAAGCTTGTAGCGTCATCCCCAAGAAGACTCGAGGCTGTAATCGCTGCCAAAGGTGCTTCAACAAAGTACTGAGTATAGGGTCTGAATACTTATGTAAATGTGATATTTCCGTTTTTTTTATTTTTTATAAATTTGCTAAAAATTCTAAAAACCTGTTTTTGCTTTGTCATTATGGGGTAATGTGTGTAGATTGATGAGGGGAAAAAGCTATTTAATAAATGTTAGAATAAGGCTGTAACGTAACAAAATGTGGTCTGAATACTTTCCGAATGCACTGTACATCCCTGTTAGTGAGCATTTCTCCTTTGCTAAGACAATCCATCCACCTGACAGGTGTGGCAGTTCAAGAAGCTGATTAAACAGCATGATCATTAAACAGGTGCACCTTGTGCTGGGGACAATAAAAGGCCACTCTAAAATGTGCAGTTTTGTCACACAAAAAAAAAACACAATGCCATAGATGTCTCAAGTTGAGGGAGCGTGCAAATGGCATGCTGACTGCAGAAATGTCCACCAGAGCTGTTGTCAGATAATTCAATGTTAATTTCTCTACCATAAGCCGCCTCCAACTTCGTTTTAGAGAATTTGGCAGTACGTCCAACCGGCCTCACAACCACAGATCAGGCCAGGTCGCAGTTGTAAATGAGAACTTGTTCTCAACTGGCTTACCTGGTTAAATAAAGGTTAAATAAAAAAATAAAAATAAAGACCACGTGTAACCACGTCTGAGACCAGTCACCCGGACAGCTGATGAAACAGGAGTATTTATGTCTGTAATAAAGCCCTTTTGTGGGGGAAAACTCATTTTGATTGGCTGGGCCTGGCTCCCAAGTGGGTGGGCCTATGCCCTCCCAGGCCCACCCATGGCTGTGCCCCTGCCCATTCATGTGAAATCCATAGATTAGGGCCTAATGAATTTATTTCAATTGACTGATTTCCTTATATGAACTGTAACTCAGTAAAATCGTTGAAATTATTGCACGTTGCGTTTATATTTTTGTTCAGTATAGAATGATCTGACCTGGGGCTATCCCATAGGCTGAATTTAACTCTGTCATTAGTGTACAGGGTTCTCTCCAGGATTTTTTAACAAGGTGGTGCTGCTGAATACGGCGTGCAAAAACGTGCCTTTTATTATAATAAATAAAGGGGCGAAGTTGCGCAGCCAGTCCACAAGTTGGCGCAGCGCTCTTACATTATTTGGGGAGAACCCTGGTGTAGCTGAAAGGGGGATCTCCGAAATCAAAAGTATAGGATAGCCCATTGAGACAGTGTTTCTTTAAATTAAATGTGTGCCTTCACCTGATCTGTCTTGCTCCTTTCAGAAAGGAAATATTTATATATATATCATGTTTGCGTGGTATGCTTGGAAGCTTGCTAGTAGCAGGGTGTAGCTAAAGCTGCCTGTTAATATCTCCCTGTTATGTCACGTGTTCCTCTCACCGTCTCCAAGGGTGCTTTTCCAGACGCCTGGAGCACCTGACAGCCTCCTGGATGTCATCCTGATAAGGTTTCCAAGTATGTTATACAGGAAATATTGACCTACAATTAAGCCATGATAGCATATCTTATGAAGACATAAAATAATATTTACAATATATAAAATAAAATTACAAGACACACCAGTCACAATAATATGGAACAGAATTGAAGGCCTACATGTCTTGTGTGTACATGTACAACACAGATTTAGCAACCAGCATGGCTGAAACATGACACACTGACATATCAAAAGAGCAAGCCCAATGTGGCCCATTGTACATTATGTACTATTTGCAACCCCCAAGGTTACTACAGTTCAGCACTTGTCTGCACAGTCTGGCAGAGCCAGAATCAATCAATTCCTTCTAGAAAGTAAGTTCCTTACAGATATTAAGAGTGAACCCTAGTCTAGGCTTCTAGGGGTACATGCAATGATACGATGATGTGTGATATTTGTTTTAGCTGCTCAAAACTACTTTGAAGGTGTTTTCTGTACAATCATACTGTAAATATTTACACTATCCATACTGTGGAAATTATTATAAAAAATCTGTCAATTGGATGCCAAAAATTACATGCATTTGAATGCTTTGACAAGGTTGGAAGGCTTGGCTGCTTATAGCCCTGTAAATTGAGCCTCATGACATACATTAATTC